AATGACTAAGCCGAAAATTCCATGTTTTTATCATTGAGTGTTTCATGACAAGTTAGGACTGGCGGTCTATAAATTGGCTTTTTCCCCATCGGATGTTATGCTCTTCGCTTCAGGGCTCAATTAAAACGGACCGGAAAGACTAAGGCGGTTTATCCCAACCGGTCGAATGATCACCCGTATACATTTTTTTTACCCCGGCACACCTCTTGGTCTGTTTCTGGAGCGTATACAACGGCCGGTTGAAAGGATAGTGCAACCGGAAAATCCACTTCTTGCTCCGGTAAATAATTTGCTAGGGTTTTGTGTCCTAAAATTAGCAGTGACAGAGACCGACACACATGCCAATGGCAAATGACCTGTCACACAGTCATTGTCCCCATGGAAAGCTTGTGCATTGGTTTGTTCAGTGGTCATTTCTTGTCGAACTATTCCGAATGGATCTTGCACGATGACCATGTTTGGGCATAGACAATAGATAACTCGCATAGCTATCCTAACGTTCTCTGTTTCGGACCAACCTCCGTTGTCCTTTTTTTCGGTTACAACGGGCTCGAATAAGCTCTAATTGCAATCCAGTAATGAAATGGGCTCTCTGAATGCTAGAATATCATCAGGCGTTGCTTCCAGATTCCACGCGTTCTTATGCACAGTTCGTGTTAATACAACCAACTAGAGAGTTCCCCTATGCATGATCACCAAATCAGTTAGTTGCTTTGTTTTGGACGCGCACTTCAGTACTGACGAACAAGTTAGATAGTTCATCAGCCACCTGTTTTTCACCTCAGTTAGCTATGAGTATCGTCCAGTGTTCGCTCATCGAACCGTGACAGCTTCACGTGTAGCGTAGTGAAAGGGCTAGAATCAAACGGATCCACAAATGTTTTGACAACATAGCCATCTACTCAAACACCACTGCAGCTGATCGATGATCACTGTGTCTCATGATTTTTTTTTACTAAGATGTGAAACTTGGTTATTTGGAATCGAAAATATTGCAAAACTAAATTCATATCAAGTACTTTTAATATCCATATAAACATACCATATTATCGATAAGAGGAACTCACTGATTAGTTGACTGGGATCCCATTTCACTCGTCATGTCATTCTAACGGTCCTTTTCATTGTTGTAGCACAATCCTTACTTTAGTTGCTTTCTGTTTTCACTCAGTCGGGCTCTTCTCAAACCCCTGTCTGATGTTTGTCTTCAAACTTTGTTGCCGCTGTCTGCGTTAGAGATTGACCCAATTGTCTGCATGAACGTTCGCGCGCACAGACGCATCCCCTCCCACACACACACACACACCTGTTTCGTTGTCTCCACCCCACCCCCAGTTTCCTGTTTCCATCACTTAGAGTCTCAATGTGCCTGTGACCATGAATCACTTGAAAGTGTTCACTGTATTCGTTGGCATGTGTACATGTTTTGACTTCGAGTTACTGCTGCTTCCTGGATTATTTCGATTATGAACAACAGGAAACTAAGTGCTACTTACTAATCGATAGGCGAGCTGAGAGTGGTTTTGAAGAAGGACAGCACTAGTCGGCGTGCTGAAAATCTTATTGGGGTTGCTGTGGTTCGGAAATCCGACCGGTTTTTTCAGCCTTTAACTTACGAGTTGAACTCGTTTTGAAAACAACATAGCGATGTTAGTGAAATCGGTTGATTTATCTAGAAATGTTCCCGTTCGACTGATCACTACAAACAGCACATGAAATAACGACCTCCTGATTTTTGGGTCTGTGCTCTGGACCACAGGGACATGTTTTTCTGGGAAATGTCTAAGTTTACTTGAAGTAACTGCTACTGATTGGAAGAATCACTAAGCGTAGAGATAATGAGACTGATTTGTAAAGATTTTCTTTTTGCTATTCTAGAGGATATGTATTTTTGTGAATATCTTTGGTTTCTAAATACGAAACGTCCCGACGCGGCGTTTGAATGTATTCCTCCCCTCCCCACGTTTGGGACATGTAAATGAGCTCTGTCTGTATCACGTCCGCATAAAGAAACTGGTATCTGGTGTAGTGAACACGTTTCGAACAATTGCACGCAGACGGAGTTGGACCCACGCTCAGAACAAAACAAAACAGACCCTACCTGATATTCAGTAAATCAAATAATTGATTCAAACACCACCTTGCAAGATCATTTTTTCCATATATTTAATTTACAAATGTTAAGTCACAAAACCATCCTTTCTCTCTTTCCTTCTCTGCGTGTCCATTTCATTTATCAGCCGCTCTCCGAGGCACATTGTTAATCATATCTATTAGTGAGTGTCATTTTTGGGCTCAGGGGATCGTGAACTATATGCTCTGAGAGGCTGCCAATGAACTTATTTTGGCCGCTTTCTAATCTTATCTGATTGCCTTAGCAACAAACAACCAGACACGCAGTTGGCGCGTTTGCATTTGGGCTGACCTGCGCAATGCAACGCAACGCAACGCAAGCATCTGTGCAAAAAGTACAATACGCATTCTTTTCTTACACCCTTCGTGTTATTGTTTTTATATGCGCATCCTGTGTGGCGTTTCGCTCGCCAGCCTGGCGTGTAATCCTCAGTGAAAATGTTTGGAACGTGTTACCCCCATATGTGTTACGTAGATTACAACAACAACCGTCAACTGCCTATTTGCTTCCCGGATCTGGTTAACCCTCCAGATAAGAATGAATTGTCGTCCTCTTTCAGAACACAGTCTCATTATTCTCCGACTATGTACAAAAAATTGTAGGATGTTTAACTATTATCGCATCTCTCAGATTCACGTTATCTGTCGTTGACTTCTTTTAGGGTTTCCCTTGTGCTTCAGTGATAATCGTTTTGTCGGCGTCAGTTGAACGCATTTCAGTCATGGTATAAAGTTCTTCCAATGCGGGGTATAGGGAACGTGCACAGGTGAGAGGCGTCTGGACCGACCGTATCTGGCATCATTAACTGTGTTTGTTCAATGAATCATCTAAGAACATCGGCGTTCACAGGTGGGGATGAGGTGGTAAATGCATTAGACAATCGGTCAGATGATCAGGTCACTTTATTTCGACTTAACCTCCATTCGGTTTGAGAAAATCCGCTGTGCTTTAGCCCACTTCCTCGTTCCATGATAAAAATCAGTTGGTCCTGTTCGACTTGAATTCAATTAGGTGTAAATCATTCCTACGCACACGTTACAAGCATAATTTGCCGATCCCTTGGGAGTTTGACTATCATAATGCAGTGTCCTAACGCAGTCATCGTTTTCTCAAGTTTATTTTGTTTTCATTGAATCAGCAAGATTCACATGGTGACTAATAGTAATGCGCGTCAATGTGCTTCCCCCGATTATCCTTTCGTCACCCATAGAATACGGCGTGGGCAGATCTACGCGACAATCAATATGGGGACTGTGATGACATCCGATAGCGCGTGTGTATGTATGCCTGGATCAATGTGTGTGCGTGTGCTTGTGTCTCTGCGCGTTCATATTCGAAGGGTACGCCTGTAGCAATGATTCACATAGGCCTGAATCTCGGTTCATACGCCGTAACGATCTTAGTTGCACACTTTTTTGTTTATCTTTTCTCAATTGCGTGGGTGGTCACTGTCCAGCCGTTTCTGCAGTTCTACTCAGTTTACTGTGGACATGGAATAGTTGCCATCGTCCTAAGCCATGTGTTGCGCACTATGGCCACATGCACTGGGTAGAGCGCAGTCCGCGTTCATTCGTTTCGGTGTATGTAAGCATGGTCTGTTTGTCTCCAGACCCCAGACGCCATCTGGAGCAATAATATAGACAGGGACGTCCGGCGACTAACACACAGACAGGTGCTTATTTGTGAACAAATGCGCTCGTTTAAAGCAGTCAACCCAAGTGCAATGTGTGTTGGAAGGGTAGAGGTTCCCGAATATTGATTTAGTCCCTCTTATTTCCAGTACACCAAACGTAGTTGACTGTAATTAAGCGAGTAGTCAATTCGTTTTCCTGTGAGTGCATCGGAATCTGAGTGCGAGAAAAGCGATCAGTAGGGTTTCGTTTTCCACCCACTTTAACTAGTGGTTTTTCGTATCACAGTTTTCAAACCATACCTTCCTTAATGCCTTTGTGTCATCTTGCTTTTTTCGTGCACAGAAAACCTTATCTGTTACGTTTACACCATCAAACACTTAATCTCTCGGTTGAATCCTCTTCCCCCGATGCGCTAAACTCACTCATCCTACTTGTTCCGTTTTTCAACCAACTGGGAAATTTGAGGATGAAGTTTACAGTAGTATAGGGACTTCTCCCTTTTTTAACGCGCTCACTGAGTACCCTGGTTCTCAGATCGATCTGGGGGATGATCAGATGATTGTTCTGAACGACTTTGTTCTCATAACTGTTGGTCCCTTTTTCTAACCTTTTTTTTATAAACCCTATATTTTGCCTTCATACGTCCTACTAAATTTCATCCCATTATAGAGCGAGTGATTTCGAAGTAAATAGATTCGACACTTATCCGAACGGAGGTGCCTCCTTGAAGCCTCCTTGCAAGCGCTGGTCAGGGTATCAAAGCGTTATGTAGTCACAAGATTGTTGTGCCTGTCAGATTGGTTATTTCTGTGCTCATTGCGCCTTATTCGCCGAGGCGCGTGCTGTGTGCGAAAATGTGTGAATTCGCAGTGCACGACTTGGTTGCAAACTACGACCTGCCGCTCAACTAAGCACATGTTTTGTGGCCGCGATTAGCACCGGGCGAACAGCGAGACTTTTTTATTCGATCGCATTCACTGTTCTTATGTATAGATTTCAGCTGACTTGAAAATTTTAGGTCACCAACTATCAAACAGCGAACTGGGAGGCGCAAAACTTTCAGTCTCAGAATAATCGCCACAGTCCTGGTTGAAAATTGTCATGCATTCGATTATTCAACGAATGAAACATCAATTTCAATCTATACTATCGTATATTTCTTCTGAACGACTACTCTATGTTTTTGTGGTGATCTTAACTCCCGATGATGCCAATTTTCTTCCCCTGTTCAGTATCTTGGAGGTGGACGATCGCAACTTGCTTCAGTTCCAGCTGAAAGCTCTGGAAGAGCGTGATCTGGTCCAATTCGTCCCGTTAGAGGGCCGTTATAGCGGTCAAATTGGGTTCCGTCGAAAAATTCATCTACAAAACCAAGGTTTGTACAAAAATTCTGTCACGAGTGTGTGAATCTGTCATCCTGATATCATCCGAACACGGAATATTAATTTAGCGTGGATGCACATTTTGTCCGATTGATGTCTTGTATTTTCATGTTTTCATCCAGTGTATTTTTTTCATGTGCAAACTTTCGCTGTATCTTACGAGACAGTCTTTGTGAGCTACCTTCACTGATCTGTTACTTACTGTTCATGTTGATTAGAGTAGAATGTTCTCGCCATCATCCAATACAGATCACTCGCTCGCAACACTTCCACTTTTAGTTCTACCTACTGTCCTCGTGATCATAACCGCCCGACAAGGTGCTTGATACTCTGAAAAAGTTATGACCTCGCTTCTTATTATTTGGTCACCGCGAATCGTGACCTAATACACTGTAAATCGTTATTAGCATACGTTCTCCTTGGTTTGGAGAGGGTGGCGTTCGGCCGTTTGTGGTGCATAGCCGAGACTATGACTTGTCTGAGCTCGGACTTGAACTCTTCTGGGAATCCAGGTGATTTGAATACATGTTCCAGTTCGGCTAGGTACTCCTTTGTTGTCGCGTTCCCGAGGTTGAAATTCATTCCTTTTCTGAGCAGGTTCTCCTCTTCGGTTGATAACTTCCGAGATGACAGGTTTTGGACCCATGCCCTTTCCCCAATTTCATCAATATCTTTCGTAAGCTTCTGGAGTTTCCTATCTAAGACTGTTTTTTTCTTCCTCTGACAATTTTGAACCCGTCTTTTTATGGCCGCTTCGATTTGTATGAGAGTTTCTTTATCAACTATCTGTTCAAACAAATATTTTTCTTTTTCTATTACGTTCTTGTACTTATTGATACGGTTGTGGGCATCCGTAATCAGGATACGTACCATACGCCTTCCATTCTCTCTCGCTATCATCCACGCTTCTGTGTGATTGATAGGTGGTCTATGGTTTACACTTGAAGGTAAAACGTTTCGTCGCAGACATTCGTGAAGAAAGAATAGCTGTTCGTGGGTAGAAGCTTGACGACAAGCAAACAACTCCCAGCGTCGGGCAGTTTTGAGCGTCAGACTCCCGTAGTTGTTTTCAACAGATTTGAATATGGGTGTGGTTTGTAGCTCAGGTTGGTATCAGAACATTACAATGCACATCATGGCAATCAGTACTCGGCTTCATTCAAGTGCTCCAAGTCATTATTACACCGACCCATAGTTTGCGTGTTCGAATGCCGCCACCTGCATCCAAATTTTCCATTTTCGTTCATCCCCCAACAAAATTCAGTTGATCACGATTCCGTTCCCAAAATCAACTGTACAATTGTAGGATCGATAAAGCTAGATGAAGTGAAATAAATGATATTTTTATTACTGGACCTAAATATTCGGAAATAAGTGTGAATGTGTTGCTGCGAGTCTATATAAGAGATGGCGGAACTTTTATTCTCCCGTGCTCCTATATTATCCAGTCGCACTGAACAACCAAGGGGATTGACCAACACGCAGGATCCTGGAGTGAGTAGTCTAGTTTCGACGGCAGTTTATTTATGCATGCAGTCCGCAATCCCATCGTAGTCAGTTATCCATTTGGGTCTGATGTCATACTTCTCTTCCGGGGTTACTGAAGTCACAACATATCCTGGTTGTTGAGCTTTGTACCAAGGATACTTTGAGGATTCCCCGCACGCCCGTTCGATTGTTTTGATTGACAGCTTCCACGTTTTGCAAATTAGTCGAAAGCCTATAAACTCAACTTAATCTTAGATTTCTAGTTTTCTATCCAGTGCTCTTCAAGTTTGCCGTCACGGTCGTTTTAATACCCATTGATTGCCTATGATTTCATCAATAGTTTGCTAATTCTCCCTCCCTATGCAGAGGTCAAGGAAGTTAAGGGGGCGAATCACATGCAACAAGTATCCACCTCCGAGAAGCCCACGATTGCGATCATTACCAATCTACTTTGCGAAAAATTGGCTGTAGATGCCATGATCGAACAAAAGACGACCTTTGTGAGATATAAAACCGAAGGTGGTGAGTTTTTGTGGTTTTTAATTTTTTTGTCTAAATCTAAATCGCTTCACACAAAACCCTAATTTGATCCTTGTTCATTTCCAGGCGAGTCGAATGTGTATACTATTGGGAACATTGGACCCCATCGTGTGATATCCACCAAGTTGCCGATGGTCGGTCGGGAATTACAAGCAAAAATCTCCTCTGGAAGTATCACAACTCGATTGCTGGGTAAGTTCAAGCACTATTCTTTGTTCACTGAAGCTGCCTCTGTTGAACAGTTATATTTACAGACAATGCATTGGCTTGACTTATTACTTTTCAAAACGTTCCTTTCCAAAAAGTAGTTTTCGGCAACATACTCTTGCTGCATTTTCCGTCCTCCTCAACACTCTAACCAAAAGTGCATTTTTATGTTTGATACTACATCGGAATTCATTAACAGAGCTTAATTCAAATGTGAACTTGACCTAAATCCATAAACAGTTTTTACACTCATCGCTCAGCAAATCGTTGATGAGTACCTTTGGTGAACTCAAGTGTTCCGCTAGACCACCCAACATCCACTCCTCTTGATTTCCGATACTGTTTTTGTTTTGTGGTCCCTCCTGTTTGGTACACCTACAGTATTTTACTTGGTTCGCCGTCGGAACTCTAAGCACATTCGACTCTTGGTATCAGTTTTTTGGGTTTTCAATTCTGGCCGAATGTCAAATATGTTGTAGACCACAACAAGTAGAAATGTCATTCAAAATGCTGTTGTTGTGAGCTTTTGTATTGCTTGTTTGTTCTGACCAGAGTAGATCATACTCCTCGTTGCAGTTGATTTGAAATTAGGCTGTACCAACTTCTCTAGGCGAACCCATGGCTCGTTAGCCCGTTTTCTTACCCTAGAGTGAGGCTTCTTGACTCTTCAGTAAAACCCCTGCCAAGAGAAGATATTGAGCAGAACTTTCTCAGTAAAGTATCTAAATGTAGATCCTTCTGAGATGAGCCTATATATGTGATCAGAAGGCTAAATTATTCGGGCAAAATATTCAAATTTAAAGGTGCGGCAGATAGATGGTTATGCATACCGTGTCTTTGGTTGACCTTACCGCTTCCTGCTTGACCCAAGTCAAATCAGCGATGCACAATTTGAATCGCAAATTTGATCGAACGTTTGCGATGGTTTTGCCACATCAAAATAACGAGGTATAATTTTCGGCAATGGTGCTGTTACTCTCAATGAAAATATGGAAACTAAGATGGTCTTATTAGGTTACATAAAGTATACCGTATATATACTGTAAAGTATACATAAAGTATATACTGTATGGTCTTTATTAATCCTTTTGGTTCCGTTTTATATATGAATCGATACTGAAATAAAAATCTACCATTAGAGTTTCTTAATCCCTCCGCATTATCTGGGTAAACAATCAGGTGCATTCCAAGCGGTGCAACATGTATTTCTCGTTGGTGTGGGTGGAAGTGTGCCCCATGTATACGAATTCGAGAAGCATTCCAGATTGGGTGATGTGGTTGTCAGTGCTCCAGTCAAATGGTGCACCGGTTGTCGCAGCCCTTCAGGCAATCACAACAACAACGGCAATGGGAACCATCACTCAAACAACGCTCTGAAGCCGGGTGATATTTGTCAGGATCCAGTGTACATTTATTGCGATCGGTTAATAGATTCCACTGACAGTGAACCCCAGCCAGCGGCTTCTCTAAAATACGTTCTGAAGAAGTATGCTGTTCGTGATACCAGTCTCCTCAGTTGTGTGGATCGAGTGCTGGATCGTTTCGAGTCAGTCCCCGATCGATGTGAATGGTCTCATATTCTTCAGACTAGCATGGATCGCTTTGCTGCCGATGAGGCAGTGGACTTTACTCGACCCTCAGCTGAAACGGATAAATTGAAACTAAAGGTGAGCCAGATCGTATATTCTGGATGTTGCTTAGGATTATGCTCTATCTTCGTGAACCAGATCACTTGAGATTTGTAATTAAAAATTTTGATTCCATTTCTTCCTATTATCGAGCAATCAACTAGATCGTGGAAAGTTCTCTTCTTCATCTTCCTGGATATATTTTCAGCTGGAGATTCTTTTTTATTGAACTGTGTATGTTAAAGTCACTTACCTGTTCGTTTGATGCATTCTGAGAATAACGAACTTTGGCGGTTCACTTTTTTTGACTTCGCCACGGAACACGGAAAGTTGTTACCTGTGGACCATCGCACATCATGCTTTTTGTTCATTGAAATTCTGTATAGCCGATCCTAAAAGAAAACAACACAGCATGCATAGACTGTTGCACAGACAAATACCCGCACCGAATTTAGCGAATTTCGTCATTAAGTGAATCTTTCACATTGAGACCGTAAGGGACAATGAAACGCGATTCGTAAGACAAATACGGGTGGGCACCGCTTCTATTTCATTTATTTCTTAGGTTGTCCTTCGTTTCATCTTTGCCTGATCGCGATATGTTTTATGGCTTAATAATCTTGTGCAAATTGTGCAACACAACCACTTGGTAGTTCATAATTTTTCTTTTGAAACAATTACCCTCTTTTGTCAATTAATGGTGATTCGCCCGCTGATCTCTTCCCTGTAACCAGATTGATGAGGGCGTCACTTTCGACATAAAACATCCTGACATTCCGGAACACTTGTCACGCTTCTACCCGCCCGGTGTACCAGCGGTCCGTCTGGGTTGCATTGGATCCGGTCGACCGATTACAGACAATGATCAACAGCGTGACTATTTTGCAAAAGAGCACCAGCTCCTTTGCTTCGACGCTGAATATGATCAAGTGAGTAGATGAAATGTTTCCACCCCTTTCCAGAATCCGAGAATTCCCATTATTCTT